AACTTCACACTTATCTTAAAAGACTGATCAAGTGAATTGGAGTATGCTTCCACATGAGTCATATGACTACTGCACCCACTATCCATAAGCCAAATAAAATTGTGAGCTTGTTCAAAAGCATGGGAAACCATGAACAAGTGCTCGCCTTACTCTTGGTTCTCTTCAGTGACTTTTGCTTGCTGTTGAGGTTGCTTTTTTGCTTGCTTCTTCTTATTCCAATATAATTTTTTTCAATGTGGCCAAGCTTATCACGAAAGGTACACTTTGACCACTAGGAAAAGAACCAAAGAACTTTCCCTTTGAGCCTTCAGGTTTTCCCATGGTTGTTAAACTTTGCTCTTTCGTGGGGTAGATAGGAAATCACATTCACTTACCTTATTTGCTCGCATGAACACTCTTTATTCTTATGCTTCCAGTTTGTTAACAAGATCATAAATGGTTAATCTTGACATCAAGATTCCTCAATAGATGAAATATTTGCGTCGAACCTTTGAGGAAAACTGATCATGACTTTCTCCACCACTTTCTCACCCGGTAAGTCTTCATCATAAAGACAAATTTGATTTACAATATCCATCAACCTAATTGAAAAATATTTGATTAACTCATCGTTCTTCATTTTCACCATAGAAAACTCTTTTTTCAAAGTCTAAGAACTTTGTTTTCTTTAATCTATCACCTCCTTCATAAGTTTCTTTAAGTTTATTCCAAACACTCTTAGGTGTTTCAAGATCCATAATGCTAGTAAAAATATAGTCTGCCAACCCGAAGTGAATACATGTTAGAACTCTATCCTTCTTCAACATTTCTTCATCATGAGCTCTGAATTGAGAAAGAGTGGGATTTGGTCTCAATTCTGGTGGATCTTTATCAGTTTCTACAACTATCCACAATCCAAGAAACCTTAAATAGACTTTCATCTTCACCGTCCAAACATGATAATGAATTCATGTGAAAAATGGAACATGTGTTGAGGGAGTATTCAAATAAGCCATTTTTAAAGCACTCACTGTAACACTCAATTCCCGTATATGTTTTCGTACACGATTTATAGATGTCACATCACTTTTAAAACTTTCCACTTTTGAAAAACCAGTAAAATTTTTTGTTTCCAATCATAAATCATTTTAATTTAATAAAACTAAAACATCCATTTACTTATAATATGTAAACATATCTTAAAGGTTTTAACAGCTTTAATTTTGACATCATCATAAGTCAAATACTTTTCAGAGCATTATAATAAATGTATTACATGCCAACTAACAACATCAAAAATGGACATAGTTGTCATACAGTTACTGATGAGGCGACCCTTGAATGACAATGTCAGATGCACTCCTTACTCCGCTCGCTAAAACCTATGCGTGAAATAAACACATGTTAAGTATTTACTTAGTGAGACAATAACACTAATGAGGTGAAATCAATACATCAATATATCATAACTATCAAAATATGAATTTATTGTTTTCAAAACATTATAAGTTCTTTGGGGTGCACACGTAGTGCCGATATGGTCATTCATAAGCTCATTATGAATTCCGTGAGTTACAAATATAGTATCGATACGATCGTTCATAAACTTGTTATGAATTCCGTGGGTTGCACACATATTGCCGATACGGTCGTTCATAAACTTATTATGAATTTCGTGGGTTGCACACATAGTGCCGATACGGTTGTTCATAAACTTATTATGAATTTTGTGGGTTGTACACATATTGCCTATACTGTCGTTCATAAACTTATTATGAATTTCGTGGGTTACACACATAGTGTCAATACAGTCATTCATAAACTTATTATGAATTTCGTGGGTTGCACACATAATGTCGATATGGTCGTTCATAAACTTATTATGAATTATGTGGGTTGCACACATAGTACTAATATAAAACTGTAACATATGCATTTAACAACATGCACCTATAACTGTCAATGTACATAATAAATGCACTCACCTGATATACCTCACTAGTATGCTGCAATGATGTCCGACTATTCGGCAACTTTATCCTTTCCCTTTTTCTTGCTTGACTCTGGAGCTTGGTTACAATCTATACAAGCATCCATTATTTACACATACCATACATATGTTAGTATACTTTCTAACACTTATACTTTTAATAATACTCAAAAGTACTATTATTTTCAATTTCTATTAAAATTCATCATATCTAAAAATTTCAGGCTCAATAGTATCGGTACCCCTACTATGGTATCAATACTTCTATACTATGGTACCGATACTCCCTTCAATATCGATATCATTTTTGCATTTTAGAATCCATAATATCGATACCTTCCTCTTAGTATCGGTACCCATAGTAGTATCGATACTAATTGCATCAGTATCGATATTGTTCATCCTATTTTCTCAAATTTAAACCTATAGTATCGATATTATTCTTCCAGTACTGCTACCCTTACCCAAATTTTTCATTTTTCATTTCGATTTTTACCCAAATTTCGTTTAATTCTCTTACTTTTATCCCTAACCATACCATTAAACTTATCATTACTTAATCCAACTAACTTACATCCATAAATCTTTTTATAACATCTAAAATCTCCAAAGAACACTCAAAACTAATAATCACACCACTTTCTCAAACATGTTTTTAATCACTTCTAAGGCCCCAAATCTCTTATTTACTTATTTGGCAAGTCAAATATACTTTTAAACTTCAATAAAGAACTATATTTCATCATATCACTCAAAAACCCATTTTCTTGAATCTCAAATAAAACCTTCATCTCTTTGTTTTAATCCTCCTTGAACTTTCCTTAATCCTCTATATCACTCAAGGTTTCAAAACCAACCCAAAAATGAAAAGAAAAACCAACATTGAAGAATTCTTACCTTGGCTATGGAGGACACGGGACTATGGGGAAGAAGTAGAAAAGACCACTTTGATTTATCCCCTTATTTCCCTTATTAAATATCCTTAATAATAATGAATATTAAATTTATTTCCCTCCAAAGGACCATAATGTCCTTCAATTCTTACTAATTAATCTTAACCACAATTTTCTAAATCATTTCCAATACTTTTCAATCTACTCACTTTAACCCACCAAAATTTTAAATACTTTCACTATGGTCACCGACCCGATATTTAGGGTATTACACTCACAAAAACTAAAACTCTCAAAGTATTTTTAATCACTCACTAACAGCAACAGAACCTCACAACCCTTAAGAAAACAGCTCTGATGCCACTATTAATGTTAAGATAAGAAAACAAACTTCAAAGCACAAAGGAGAGGAAGAGCGGAAAACAAAGAGAATGTAATGCAAAAGATCAAAGCAAGATTAAACAAAGATAGAGATGCATCAAATTGCACTCTCAACCATTCTAATAAAGCCATTTTAAACATGATTACAAAGTAAAACATGTTTAAAAAATTACAGTTGTTAAGTGTAAAAATCAACACTTAAACCATACTAAAAAAACAACCAATAAACAACATTACAATTGTCATACAAAATATATATGATTTCCAATATCAGACTCAATACTTCAAGTAATATAAGTATATTTTATCGGGATTTTATGGAGGAAGAAAGTGTTTTGCAAAATGAAAGGCGGATGCCAGCTAGAAGCGAGCCAGGAGATCGTATTGCAAGTCTCACGCCAAATCCCTCGACAGGGAATTGTTCAACGTGTAGTAGGGTGGCAACTGCCTCCTCCGGGTGGTGTAAATCAAACTCAGATAAAACTAGGAAGAATGATACGGGACGGACGGTGCGTGGTGGTGTCGTGTGGGACTAATGATAGCTGGGGCTATGGAAATAAGGACAATCATCGTGAAAATCGATAGCAAGGACGCTTTGGATCTGCTTATGCAAGGTACGACGATGGATAATATTTCCCATATGGTTCTTCATATAGTTGATTTGTTTTGAAGGGCACGGTATCTACAGTTTATTTATACACCTCGAGAGAACAACAAGGGGGGAATGGTATGGCTAAATTTGCATGGTCCCTTCTCTTTGGTCTTTGTATTTTCAAGATCCGTCGGATTTCGACTCGGTGCTATATGTGACTTTTAGGTTGGTGAATGTGCTTTATTACTATCTGCACTTTATAAAATGTTGTCTTGAATAACTAGTTGGCTAAAAGCAAGAGAGGATTGAGAGTTTGAAACCAATCGCCCAAAGTCAAACATTCTCTAACCATCTATGTTCAAGCTAATCTATGCTTGGTCATTGAACTGGTCCAATTAAAAAAGCAAACGATTTGGATGAACATTTGAAGCCGAAGAAAATTGCCTAAAGTCTCAAAATTTTCTTACCATCCTACTGTCAAACCCATCCATGCACGTTTGTTGCTGTGGACATTGAACTCAGCCTCAGTGCAAAACCAAGAGGGTATTGAAAATAATATTGATGAACTGGAATGAGTAGAACATATATAGAAAAAGAAGAGCACACACAATGTTACAAAAATCTACAACCCATTCGAAAGAGAGTCCATGTCTGATTTGAAGCCATTTTCAATCAGTGAGATGAAAGAAAGAAGGAATAAGAAATTATAATCTCTTTGGGAGTCAGGGGCGTGGTTGAGGGTGTGCAAGGTGGGCGACCACGCAGGGCCTCAAAAATTAGGGGCCCCGAAAGGGGTCTGAAATCGAGTATATTATTAGTTGTCATTAATAAGCATAAAAATAGGGCTTCCGAAATAAAGTATATCTATCAGTTGTTGCCATTAAGAAGCATAAAAATAGAGGCCTAAAAATCGAGTATATCTATCAGTTGTTTCCATTAAGAAGTATAAAAATAATGGCTCCGAAATCGAATATATCTAGAAAACAGTGGCCCTTTATAAGAATTTGCACAGGGCCCCCGACAATCTAGCCACGGCCTGTTGGGAGTTGCATCATTTCTTTGTAAATCTGTGACTTCATCTCTTTATTTACAGCCTCTCCGATCACAAAAAAGAATAACCACAAGCTGGGGCTAATAAATAAGAAGCACCGAACTACTTTACAACATACTTACCTGGACGACGTCAATGGGTGATCAACAAGAACCATGGCCTAGGCTAATGACCTCTATTGCACTTAGGAGGGGTTCTAACCTAAGGTCTCCCCAAGTGGGAGAGCCTACGTCATAATTTGTAGTAGTTGGGGCCTGTGTTCGCGCGGCCCTGTTCCAGTTTTAGTTTCTATTAATTTCCAAATGACATGTCTATATTCTTCTAAACCTCGCGTAACTGTAACTCTGGCACATCCTTCGAACATCTTTGAATGCTCCGGTCGTATGTCTTTAGCTCATTGTTCACCTTCTCATCCTACAGGATACGTTGAATGTTCTTCAGCTGAAAAAATGACTTAATAATGATAACCGCCACTTTCTTCGACAAGATTTGTAGGTGAAGAAGAGAAATAAATGGAACTCTCCACATTTTTGTAGTCACTGAGCTTGTCAGCCTCGAGTTCAGTAAGATGACTTGCAGCTTCGTTAATGAACTTGGCTTTGATCTCATTTGCATTTTCCCTTCATTAAGATAAAAGGGACAACATTTAGTTTCAAACATCAAGCTCATTTGCAGGAACGACACCAAATAAAGGTTGAAACCTGTTGATGATGCCACCCAGTGTTGTTGGGATGAGTACGTCACAGTCTTCAACCAGAAGTCTAAAGAATCCCCTTCATGGAATCCATTAATACCCTTGTTTTCGATTACATGGTTGAGTAGACTAGTAATATTGATTCCTTTGCAGTTCTCTATGGCTCCTATGCTATCACTTACAGGTAGAAACAACTAATATCCATGCCATTGTCTGCTTAACCAAGAAAAAAAATTCTATTATCGATTTCAAAATTCACTTTTCGAAGGCTAGAACCAACTAGGTAGAAGGAAAACTGATAGGAATGACATATTTGAAGCATATTTAATGAAACGATAAAATAAAATGTACAAGTCGTAGGCTAAAGTTTCAAGATTTTCCAGCAAATTTCTTGACGGGAAACACATTTCCGGAACCTAGTTTACTAGTGAATATTATATTAGTTGATCTTCACAATTACATATGTCATCGCAATCAAAAACAAAATCTATGAACTTTTGACTACCATCTCTGAACCAGAGGCAGATTTAGTGGGAAAAAGAAGTAAACATCAAAAAGCTAAAAAGATAGCAAATTTAAGCTTAATTCTAAATCATACTCTATAGTTTTTGTTCCAAATCTCAGCTTCATTGGTTCATTTCCATGGCCTATGCCTTCATGATCAACGAGAACCTCTCCTCGAGTTCAAGGATTTACTATTTCGCAGCTCAATGAAAGACAATCTCCCACAGATTTGTTTCTCGATGGCTTAGAGACGTGAAATTCCAGTTCAAATTGATGTCATTGGGCTCTGGTGGAATGTAGTTCCAGTTTATCTTTACAACAAGTGATGGGTCTGAATTGATCCAGTGTTTTTCTCTCACCAGGAAAGACTCCAACTGTTTTGGCATTGATTTTCTAGATTAAGATTTTTTAGACGTATAACAATCCGAGATGATATAAATAAAGGAAAATGAGAAATCTTATTAAATAATAAAAAAATAATATAAAAAACAAACACATGATTGAAAACGAAACAACCGAATGGAAATGAGTTGAGGCATGCAATTACGTAGTTTCTTTAAGACAAATTTCCAGTCAGTCCTTGGTGCTTGAGATATTAAGTCGTTTGTCTCCTAAGATACAACAATAAGATAATCAGTGCACAGTAGCACAACTGCCAAGATCACAAACTATTCTTTGTCTTTATCTATCACCAAAAACTAGAGAAAATAATTCATTTGAATTGGTTTTTGAGTTGTTTTTAAATTGTATTTAACATAGTAGGTTAGCACAGTATTTATAGGGAGTGTTCACATTGTGATCAATTGTAAATTTTTGATCTAATGAAGCATTAATGAGAATCAAGCAATTAAGTAATTTCCAAAATTATTGTTTTGATTAAAGTAAACTTTTAATATTTATCCTTTTAATTCCAAAATAGATTTTGAAAAGATATTCTCGGAAAACATCTCACATTTGGGTTAAAATATCCACAAGCCCACAAAGAGCTAGATCAGTTCGGACATTCACGTTACCCACATCGTGCACTTCTGCACATTTATGAACCAACAATTAGTTCCACATTTTCCTCAACAACATTTGGATCAATTTATCATTCAAAGCTCTAAAATTATCAAAAAAAAAATTCCAATAGGTCTTGATGTCGCTTTACATTTCCTATAATTCTATACAAAGGTGAAATTTCAGGGATTGGACTGGGAAATTTGAGTGAACTGGTGCATCTTGACATGAGAGGAAATAGCCTCAATGGTTCAATTTGTATGCAGCTGTTTCATTTGATAAATCTGGAGTTCCTTGATATCAGTGGTAATATGATTGATAGTGGATTGCCTAATGATGTTGGTCTTAAAAGTTTGAAACAGTCGAGCTTCAATATTGTAGCTAACAGAGCTTGGAGTTTTAATCCTGTTGACATCGGGAACTTGGTGAATCTAACAACATTAGACTTGAGCAAGAATTGTTTGAGTGGAGAAATCACATCATCGATACGGATGCCGAGGAAGTGGAGACACTTTATCTGGAGAACGATATGCCGTCTGGTGAGATACCAACATGGCTATTTGGCCTCAAGGAGTTGAAGAAGTTGCACGTTGGAGGAAATAGATTAGCATTGGAACAACAATCTCAAGATCGAACTGAAGTGTAAGTTATCTTCATTATCATTGAGATTTTGCAGTGTTAGAGGGGTGAACTGGTCTTTTTCCTTGGACTTGAGTGAGAATGATCTCGAAGGAGATTCTTCCCACAGTTGTTATGGCAGCTGAAAGAAATCTTGGAACTATTATTCTATCAGATAACAAGCTGTTAGGTTCTTTGCCACCCAAGTTGTTTCAACATCGAAATCTATTGGTCCTTCCGTCATTAAGAAACAACTTTTCTGGGGAATTGCCAGAAATCAATACTACTTCAATAATGATACTCATGCTATCAGGAAACAAATTTTCAGGGACAGTGCCAAAATCAATCTCCAATATATACATATTGTTGCTGCTGCACTTGCTAAACAATAACTTCTCAGGCAGTGAATTTCCAACACAGCATTTGTATTAAATAGCTTAATTGCTTTTGTTGATATTTCTTCCAATAATTTCTCCTGTAAAGTTCCTGAGGATTTTGGATTCTTCACCTCGGTGCTTTAACCGGTCCATTGCCTAAAAATTTTAGCAATTTGAGTGTGTTTGAACACCTTGATCTTCATGACAACAATATCAGTGGTGAATTCCCATATTTCTTCTCTCAATTGTCCTTTCTTCAAGTACTTGATCTTAGGAAGAATTCCATTGATGGATCAATATTCATTGATCCGTCGATTCTTAGCAGGCTCTGAATCCTAGACCTCTCCAACAGCATTACAACAACCTCAAGGGTGAAATTCCTCGAAGCTTGGATAATCTTACAGGGATGATTGAAACATCAAATGTTCCACTAACACTTTCTGAATCTTCAATGTTGAAAAAGGATTCATCTAAAAAAAAAGCTTCTTGAAACTCTCACAGGTAATTCCTGGGAATTTTGGGTTGGTGATTGTACCTTATCAACATTCTCAAATCATCCAAGTTCAAGCGAAGCTTTGCTTTATTGCCATGGCCGATGAACTGTCTCACTGCCAAAGCAAGGTCCATGGCCTAGCTTATTACCTCCATTGCATTTCGAAGGGGTGCTCGCCTAGGTTCCCCCAAGTGGGAGAGCTTACGTAATAATTTGTGGCGGTGGAGGCCTGCGTTTGCACGACCCCTTTCCAATTTTTCAGTTCAATTGTTCAGTTTGTTTAGGTATAATAGTATTAAGGATACAATTATCTGCAATAGTTTTTGCTCTTATACCTTGTTTGAAACAGGGTTTAGGGTTTGAATTATTTACATGTATATGGTCTCTCATCATACACTTGTCCTTGAATTATTTGTAAATAATACATCTCAAAAGTTTTGTGACAAGGTTTTTGATCATATACTTTGCTGGAATAGGGTTTGAATTATCTACAAATAATACATACCGAAAGTTTATGGTGACATGATCTCTGATCATATATCTGTCCTAGAGACAGGAACAGGGTTCGATTGATTCCAAACTTTGCTGCAATTCGAAAGAGAATTGATGACTGATATCTAAGTCCTAAACAGGGTTCGAGTCAGACATGGCGTATTTCATCTACACATGTAAGAATCTATTAAAGACGATGAAAAACATCTTACTTTAGTGGAATCTTTGGCAATGAAAGTCTAATCTCATCATTCGAAAGAGAATTGATGACTGATATCTAAGTTCATATGACACCAGACATCATTGAAAGATAATCTATGTCGATTTACAACCATTTTTTATCAATGAAATAAAAAAGACAGGAAACAGATTCTGATCTGTTTAGGACTTCCATATATTCTTTGTAAATCTGTTTAAGAGCTTCGTGTACGGCGTCAAAAGGGAAGTGGAGAATCATGATGAAGCACTAATCCTATATCTAGTAAAAACGAGTAAGAACCAGAAGCTGGAGCTAATAGATAAGAGACGCCTAACTACAATGCAACATACTTACCTGGACGGGGTTAATGGGCGATCATCAAGGTCTATGGCCTAGGCTTGTGACCTCCGTTGCACTTAGGAGGGGTTCTCGCCTAAGGTCTCCCCAAGTGGGAGAGCCTACGTCATAATTTGTGGTAGTGGAGGCCTGCGTTCGAGTGGCCACCGTCAAATGTAAGTTTAAACTTTAGATATACATGCTAGTGATTATTTACTAGTTTGTTCATTTCAAACACAGCAAGGTTTTTAAAGCAAGCAATTGTTTTCTTATAACACAAATAGGTGCAAAACAAAGTTACATATTTTGCAGTAGAAGTATATTTGATCTGGATTTTATGCAGGTGGAAAGTGTTTTGCAAAATGGTAGGCCGATGCAGTAGAAACGAGCCAGGGAACGCATTGCAAGCCTACGCCAAATCCCTCGACAGGGAAATGCTCAACTCATAGTAAGGTGGAAATTGCCTCCTCCGAGTGGCGTAAATTAAACTCGATAGGGACGGATAATGTTTGGTGGTAGAATGTAGACCCGTGGGGAGTCTTTGTAGCATTAGAAATAGCTTAGGATATGGAAAAAAGGACAATTATCATGGAAACCAATAGCAAGACGCCCTGAATCTGCTTATGCAAGTACAACTATGGATTATATTTCCCATATGATTCCACATACAGTTGATTTGTTTCGGAGGGCATAACATCTAAAGTTTGTTTATGCACCTCGAGAGATGATCAAGGTTGGGGATGGTATGGCTAAACTTGCATGGTCCCTTCTCTTTGTTCTTTGTATTTTCAAGACCCTCCGGATGGTTTCGACTTGATGCTACATGCGGACTTTGAGGTTGGTGAATGTGCTTTATCAGTATCTGCTCCTTGTAAAATGCTGTCTTGACAAACTAGTTGGCTATACGCAGAAGAAGATTGATAGTTTGAAACCATTCGCTCAAAGTCTCAAACATTCTCTAACCATACATGATCAAGCTAATCTATGATTGGTTGTTGTCCTGGTCAATAAACTGGCTCAATCAAAAAAGCAAACGATTCGGATGAACGTTTGAAGCCAAAGAAAATTAACTAAAGTGCAAAAATTTCTTAACCATCAACGTGTCAAACCAAGCCATGCACGTTTGTTTTTGCAAACGTTGAATTGCCTCACTGCAAAAATAAGAGGGCATTGAAAACAATATGGATGAACTGGAATGGGTAACCATATATAGAAAACGAAGGGCACACAGTGTGTTCAAAATTTTGATTTCAATTTTTAATCAGTGGCATGACAGAAAGAAGAAATAAGAAGTTATAATCTCTCTGGGAGTTTCATCGTTTCTTTATAAATCTTTGACTTCATCTCTTCATGTACAGCGTCACAAGAGAAGTGGAGAATCATGATGAAGCACTAATCCCAAGTAAAAACGAGTAAGAACCAGAAGCTGGAGCTAATAAATAAGAGACACCTAACTACAATGCAACATATATACTTACCTGGACGGGGTCAATGGGCGATCAACAAGGTCTATGGCCTAGGCTAGTGAACTTCATTGCACTTAGGAGGGGTGCTCGCGTAAGGTCTCCCCAGGTGGGAGAGCCTACGTCATAATTTGTGGAGTGGGGGCTTGCGTTCGCGCGGCCCCGTTGATCGTAAGTTTAAACTTTAGATATTCATGCTTAACGATTAATTACCAGTCTACTGTTCATTTCAAACCCTGCAAGGTTTTCAAAGCAAGAAATTCTTTTCTTATAACACAAATAGATCCAAAACAACTTAAGTTACATCTTTTGCAATAGAAGTATATTTGATCCGGACATAATGGAAGTATATTTGATCCGGATTTTATGGAGGTGGAAAGTGTTTTGCAAAATGACAGGTGAATGCCAAATAGAAACGAGCCAGGGAATACATTGCAAGCCTCATGCCAAATCCCTCGGCAGAGATGCTCAACTCGTAGTAGGGTGGGAATTGCCTCCTCCGGGTGGTGTAAATTAAACTCCGATAGGGACGGACAGTGTTTGGTGGTGTCTTGCGAGACTTAGAATGTCAGATGGATTAAAGGATTTACGAAAGCCATAGTTGCTGCTCGGTGTTGGATGTAGAGCCGTGGGGTCTTTATAGTATTGGAAATAGCTTGGGATAAGGAAATAAGGACAATTATCATGGAAACCAATAACAAGGACGCTCTAAATCTGCTTATGCAAGTACAACTATGGATAATATTTCCCATATGATTCCACATATAGTTGATTCTACAGCTTTGTTTAGATTACTAATGGTGTTTTACCAATCAACTGTTGATTCCAAACCAAACAAGATTATCAATGTTAGCAATTGTTTTCTTAAATTAAACTCAAATAAAAATCCATTAGAAAAGATGAAAAACAGCTTACTTCAGTGGCATCTTTGGCAATGAAATTCTAATCTAACCATTCGAAAGAGAGTCGATGTTCGATATTTAACTTGGTTCGTACGACTATTCGAACGAGAGTCCAGTCGATTTACAACCATTTTTTTATCAGTGAGATAAAGAAGCAAGGAAACTGTAATCTGTTTAAGACTTCCATATATTCTTTGTAAATTTGTTTAGGAGCTTCATTTACAGTCTCTCCACTCACCATATTTGTTTAGGAGCGTCATTCAGCCTCACCAGTCACCAGGTGAGTGGAGAACCATGACGAAGCACTAATCCCATATCTTGTAAGAAAGAAGAAGAACAACAAGCTGTGATAATAAATAAGAGGCACCTAGCTACATTGCAACATACTTACCTGGACGGGGTCAATGGATGATCATCAAGATCCATGGCCTAGGCTAGTGACCTCCATTGCACTTAGGAGGGGTGCTCGCCTAAGGTCTCCCCAAAGTGGGAGAGCCTACGTCATAATTTGTGGTAGTGGAGGCCTGCGTTCGCGCGGTCTCCGTCCAAATTTAGTTTCAATAGTTAACAATCACTCTGTGGTACATCTTTGAATTCTTCTGTCATGAAAATCTTTAGCTTATTGTTCTCGTTCTCATACCGCTAGATGGCTTGAATGTTATGCAGCAGAAAGTCGACCTGAGAATCCGGTCACTACAGCAGGTGAATAGCCATGGAATTTGGAGTACTCATCTAATATTCATGCCATGGTATTTTTCTCTTGGTTAAACATACCATCATTTGAACACCATCATTTGGAGTACATGCCATGGTATGTTTAACCAAGAGAAAAATACCATCATCGACAGCGAAATTCACTCTTCGAACACCTGAACTGACTAGGTTGATGGAAAATTAATGGGAATGACATATTTGATGCATATTTATGTTGCACTTGTGGACTTGTACTACTCGAAAGAGAGTCCATGTCGATTTGCAAACATTTTTTTATCAGTGAGATAAAAAAACAGATTCTAATCTGTTTATGAGCTTCATATTTTCTTTGTAGGTCTGTTTAGGAGCTTCACTCAGCCTCACCAGTCACCAGGAAAGTGAAGAATCATGACGAAACTAATCCCATGTCGAGTAAGAAAGAGGAAGAACCAAAAGCTGGAGCTAATAAATAAGAGGCAACTAGCTTCACTACAACATACTTACCTGGATGGGGTCAATGGGTGATCAAAAAGGTCCATGGCCTAGGTTAGTGACCTCCATTGCACTTTGAGGGGTGCTCGCCTAAGTCATAATTAGTGGCAGTGTGGGCCTGCGTTCGCGCGGCTCCCTTTCAAACTTAGTTCCAATTGTTTAAAATTTTTCTCCTCATAACCCAAGATGCTTTGAATGTTATGCAGAGTAAAAAGGACTTAAGAATGGCCAGTAACGTGATCACGAGAGGTTTGAGTGAATAATCAGTCTTTGTTAGACATTAATATTATAGTTCCTTTGTTTTACGTCATCATGCATTAAGCTTTGAATAGCTGGAAATCTTATCTGGCATCTTAGTACTTACTCATAGCACAATCATGAGGGAAATTTGTATGAAAGATAAAATTAAGAAGCAAATAAGGAAGTAGGGTAAACTATTTAGCATCACAAGACATATAGGATTGCCAGCAGGGCCGGTCCAATGAATTTTAATGTCCTGGGCGAGAAAATAATTTTATGCCCCTATACTTGTATCGTATAATAGACAAAACATAAATAATTTTTTTAAAACAAAAATGTAATAGAAATTATAGTCAATTAAGAGATTCTAAGTTTTAGCTTCTTAAGGCTGCAATTATAGTTTATCGGTTAATATGAGGGAAAATATTGTAGGAATATAGCTAGATTGAAGAAGAAGAAAATAGAAGAGCTTATGATAGAGTTTCCATAAAATGCCTTTGGTCATCGTTATGTTAGAATAATTACACAGCCTTATACATGAGCAAGTTTCAATTTGATTCATCTGAGATTTATAGTTTCCTTTAATTGGAACAAACGTGTAGTTCTTTCGAAGCCATAAATAGAATCTACGAGATCAAATGCTGCAAGCATCCCAGTGCTCTTGCAGTCTGTGTTGGGTATGTTTAAGACATAAAGCACTTCGTTGTCATGGTCCATTTAGTTGATGGATTCTCAAGCTGATGCTTTGGTCATTTTTAGAATACTGGGCTTGAAAGTTGGGCTGCGAGAGCTTAGTTTTAACATACCCATAACCCTGTCGCAATGAAAGAAAGAAAGGCCGAAACAGGACGAGTGGGTCGCCATTCCAATTTCCAACCAAACCGAAGTTGGAGCTCATCTTTGCTTGGGTTTGTTGTTTTAGCCAAAACTGAAGCAGATAGAGGAAGCAAGAAGATGGAGGACGGAGAGATAGATGAGAAAATGGCGGTGGGAGTGAGATCATAGTCATCAGATACGCCGCGGAAGCCCGAGAAATCTCCTTATGATATGCTTAAAGAAACCAAAGCCTCGGTTAAAGAGGTTGCCGCCAAAACCCTCTCAATCAAAAAGGAAAACAAACCAAAATCTGAACTCAGAGAACAAGTCACCCAAATTGATGCCCCCTCAAACATGCTACCCTGGGCTAAGGCCCATCTGGCACATGTATTGGGTCGGACCTGATTGCCAGTTAGCCAGATGATTAAGAAATTGTTTTCTTAGCAATAGCATTTTGTGTAAAATTAAGTAGGGTAATATGTCAACTATCACTTTTGTTCTGTTTTAGTCACTCGATTGTTTTTATTTTAAAATTATATCTAACGTTATGTTATGGTTTCATATT